GACAAACACAGAGGTCCCCTGTTGGGGTGTGATTTTATAGGGCCCTTCTCTCGCTCTTACTGGCTCGTATCTTGAAAACCTTTTAGGCATGGATTGACCGTGGAGAACTAAAACTGTATTTAACGCCACCACCCTAGGAACCGATGGCGTAGGATAAATAGCTTGGCTTGAAAGATGCCCACCAACAAATTTCCTCCTTTCTGCTTCTTTGTGGAATGACTGCGCGGTTCATCCAAGGGTTACCAGCATCCTGCTTTGCCTCGTCCTTGCCTCGGTCACCATTTTTCCCCTTCCTTCCCTTCTTCCTTCTCCGTCCATCTGCCAGTTGCCTTTCTCCTCTCCCTTCCTCTCTCTCCCCAAGGCTTTTGAATCTCACTCTTCTTTGGAACCAGCCGTGCGAATGCAAAAAATGTGGAAAGGCCAGAAGCCGAACCTGTCATTCCACCCATCGGAAGAAAGAGCTGAGCTGAGTCAGTACAGCGGATGAAGCTGGAGTTCCAGCTTCAAAACACAGCGGGGGAAATGGATCGTGCTGGAGCGCCACCAACTCATTGTTGCGTCTGCAGCCTTGTGCAATCGCCCATTTCCAACCTTATAAGCGACGAGTTTGGACTGAACAGGAAGAATGAGGGGAAGAACGTTAGACCGACGCGGAACAGCTATCGCTTTTGCGTCCTTCAAAACAGAATGTTAAACGGCAACATTTCCTAGTAAGATCCTTTGCATTTTTAATAGCAATGTAGGGTTGTGTTTCCACTGGCTAGCGAAAAGCCTTCATTTAAAACAGACTTTTGCAACTTGGTGCCCTCCGGATCTGTTGGCCTAACCCTCCCCCTGACTCTACCGTGGTTGGTAAGAATTCTAAGAGTGTGAAGAATTGGGGGACTTCCTCCCACCCCCCATCCTTTTGAAGGGTGCAAGGATGGGGAAGGCTGGTCTGGAGGAACTCAGACCGATCCACACGAGCACCCCTTAGGAACCGTTTTGTTTTGGGGAGAGGTGGATTTCTCCCTCCCTCCTGAAATCAGCCTGTGCCTCTTCGGATGGACTAAGCCACCGGAAAAATGTAAACAAGAGCCAGTCAAAAAGAGGAATTGTTCTGAAGAAAGAAGGAAGAAGGTTTCCTGCTTGCTCTGAATCCCTGTTCATAACGGACTTGGTGATTTTGCTAGTGAGAGAGGCTGATCTTGATCGGCATGTGGAATGGGAAATGGGATGTTCTCCAGATGTTTGCTCCCATCCTGTCTTTCTTTCAAGAGCTCAAGGCTCCGGACAGAGCCCCCTCCAGTTTTCCCCCACAGAGGCCACCCCATGAGGTGGCTTGGGCTGAGAGAGAGGACTGGCCTGAAGTCACTGTACGTGGTCTTAAATCTGGACCTGCTGGGGAATTCTGGGAGTTGAAGTCCACCCATCTTAAAGTGGCCAGGGTTGAGAAACACTGACTAAGGCTGGATTAATCACTGTAGCACCCTGGTTCTTTCTCTGCGTTGCAAGTCCTCCATGGCTTGCCTGTGGCTGTTAGAAATTGTAAGGGACCTGTAGATCCCCCCAGCCCCTTCTTCTCTGCATGAGGCTGCTGTCTGTCTTAGCCAAAGGAAATGTTTCTCCAGCCAGCTTCAGGAAGGAGCAGTAGGGTGGAGCAAAGCCGATCTTGAGAGAACGAGACCTCTTCCTTCTGGAGTCCGTGGGGCTTACTACAGCAGTGGGTCACCCTCTGGCAGGCTGAGAAACCAGTGGAAGGAGTGGTGGAATTGTCACAGTCATTGAATGTCAGAGTTGGGGTCTTAGAGGTCATATATTCCAAGCCCTGCTCAGGGCAGGAATCCATGAAACCATCTTGGAGAGCTGGCCATCCCCTGTGGTCTCTCTCCCCTCAAGACATTCCTCCCAAGGTTGAGATTATTGGGTGGGGTTTTGGGGGTGAATGGTGGTGAAGGCAGACTGGAATGACCATCCGTGGTCGATTTAATGTAGCTGCTATTTCTCCTGCTACTTCATAGTGACTGTGCTTCTTGTCCTGTTTTTTAGATTAATATGTCTTTGGCTCAACTCTCCCGTATCTGCGAAGAGGAAGGACGGATTTAAAATAGTCCAGTAATCCAAGCAGCGCTTCCCAACGTTCAGGTTGGGACTTCATCTCCCAGAATTCCCAACTAACCTGCTGTGGGAGAATTCTGGGAATTGAAGTTCAACACATCTGGCCGTGGGAAGGTTGGGAAAGGGGGACTGAGAGCAGAGCCAGGAAGCACTCCTGGGTGGCCAGAGGAGGAGATGGTTCTCCTTTCGGGCGAAGGTCCCTCCGAGAGAAGGGGGCACCACATGTTGCAGGCTAAGGAGTCAGTGACGCAAAAGCGGTCCTTAAAATTAAACAAGGTGGATGTCTTCACTCTGCGTTGACTGCTTTGGGAGTCTTTGGGGCCCAAGGAATTTGGGGTTGGCCTGAGGTTGAACCCAGGGGCTCGGGAGAAAGATCGGGCCTTGGTAGACTTCCATGGAGTCAGAGTTGGAAGGGAATCTAAGAGGTCATCAAGTCTCCCCCTCTCAGGGCTGGGTTCCTTTGCCCATTGCTCTCTGCCTGAATTCTCTAGGCCAGTGTTTCTCAACCTTGGCAGCTTTAAGATGGGTGGACTTCAACTCCCAGAATTCCCCA